CCATCTGTGATGTGACCCATGACCAGTGTGACCCATGACCAGTGTGACCCATGACCAGTGTGACCCATGACCAGTGTGACCCATGACCAGTGTGACCCATGACCAGTGTGACCCATGACCAGTGTGACCCATGACCAGTGTGACCCATGACCAGTGTGACCCATGACCAGTGTGATCCATGACCAGTGTGACCCATGACCAGTGTGACCCATGACCAGTGTGATCCATGACCAGTGTGACCCATGACCAGTGTGACCCATGACCAGTGTGATCCATGACCAGTGTGATCCATGACCAGTGTGATCCATGACCAGTGTGACCCATGACCAGTGTGACCCATGACCAGTGTGACCCATGACCAGTGTGACCCATGACCAGTGTGATCCCATGACCAGTGTGACCCATGGACCAGTGTGACCCATGACCAGTGTGACCATGACCAGTGTGACCCATGACCAGTGTGATCCATGACCAGTGTGACCCATGACCAGTGTGGACCCATGACCAGTGTGACCCATGACCAGTGTGACCCATGACCAGTGTGATCCCATGACCAGTGTGACCCATGACCAGTGTGATCCATGACAGTGTGATCCATTGACCGAAGTGTGACCCATGACCAGTGTGACCCATGACCAGTGTGACCCATGACCATGACCATACCAGTGTCCATGACCAGTGTGGATCCATGACCAGTGTGATCCATGACCAGTGTGACCCATGACCAGTGTGGACCCCATGACCAGTGTGACCCATGACCAGTGTGACCCATTGACCAGTGTGACCCATGACCAGTGTGATCCATGACCAGTGTGACCCATGACCAGTGTGACCCATGACCAGTGTGACCCATGACCAGTGTGACCCATGACCAGTGTGATCCATGACCAGTGTGACCCATGACCAGTGTGATCCATGACCAGTGTGATCCATGACCAGTGTGACCCATGACCAGTGTGACCCATGACCAGTGTGACCCATGACCAGTGTGATCCATGACCAGTGTGACCCATGACCAGTGTGACCCATGACCAGTGTGACCCATGACCAGTGTGACCCATGACCAGTGTGACCCATGACCAGTGTGATCCATGACCAGTGTGACCCATGACCAGTGTGACCCATGACCAGTGTGACCCATGACCAGTGTGACCCATGACCAGTGTGATCCATGACCAGTGTGACCCATGACCAGTGTGACCCATGACCAGTGTGACCCATGACCAGTGTGACCCATGACCAGTGTGACCCATGACCAGTGTGACCCATGACCAGTGTGGACCATGCACCAGTGTGACTCATGACCAGTGTGACCCATACCAGTGTGACCCATGACCAGTGTGACCCATGACCAGTGTGACCCATTGACCAGTGTGACCCATGACCAGTGTGACCATGACCAGTGTGACCCATGACCAGTGTGACCCATGACCAGTGTGACCCATGACAGTGTGACCCATGACCAGTGTGACCATACGTGGACCATGACCAGTGTGACCATGACCAGTGTGACCCATGACCAGTGTGACCATGACCAGTGTGACCCATGACCAGTGTGATCCATGACCAGTGTGACTCATGACCAGTGTGACCCATGACCAGTGTGACCCATGACCAGTGTGACCCATGACTAGTGTGATCCATGACCAGTGTGATCCATGACCAGTGTGAACCATGACCAGTGTGATCCATGACCAGTGTGACCAACCATGTGCCATGACAGTGATCCAACAGTGTGATCCATGACCAGTGTGACCCATGACCAGTGTGACCCATGACCAGTGATGCATCCCATGACCAGTGTGATCCATGACCAGTGTGACTCATGACCAGTGTGATCCATGACCATGTGATCCAGACCAGTTGACCCATGACCAGTGTGACCCATGACAGTGTGACCATACCATGTGACAGACTAGTGTGATCCATGACCAGTGTGATCCATGACCAGTGTGACCCATGACCAGTGTGACCCATGACCAGTGTGACCCATGACTAGTGTGACCCATGACCAGTGTGATCCATGACCAGTGTGATCCATGGACCAGATGTGATCCATGACAGTGTGATCCATGACCAGTGTGATCCATGACCTACCATGAGTGTGATTCCATGACTAGTGTGACCCATGACCAGTGTGATCCATGACCAGTGTGATCCATGACCAGTGTGATCCATGACCAGTGTGATCCATGACCAGTGTGACCCATGACCAGTGTGATCCATGACCAGTGTGATCCATGACTAGTGTGACCCATGACCAGTGTGATCCATGACCAGTGTGATCCATGACCAGTGTGATCCAAGACTAGTGTGATCCATGACCAGTGTGATCCATGACCAGTGTGATCCCATGACTAGTGTGACCCATGACAGTGTGATCCAGACAGTGTGATCCATGACTAGTGTGATCCATGACCAGTGTGATCCATGACCAGTGTGATCCATGACCAGTGTGATCCATGACCAGTGTGATCCATGACCAGTGTGATCCAGTCAGTGATCCATGACCAGTGTGATCCATGACCAGTGTGATCCATGACTAGTGTGATCCATGACCAGTGTGATCCATGACTAGTGTGATCCATGACCAGTGTGATCCATGACCAGTGTGATCCATGACCAGTGTGATCCATGACCAGTGTGATCCATGACCAGTGTGATCCATGACCAGTGTGATCCATGACCTAGTGTGATCCATGACCCAGTGTGATCCATGACCAGTGTGATCCATGACCAGTGTGATCCATGACCAGTGTGATCCATGACTAGTGTGATCCATGACTAGTGTGATCCAAGACTAGTGTGATCCATGACCAGTGTGATCCATGACCAGTGTGATCCATGACCAGTGTGATCCATGACTAGTGTGATCCATGACCAGTGTGATCCATGACCAGTGTGATCCATGACCAGTGTGATCCATGACCAGTGTGATCCATGACCAGTGTGATCCATGACCAGTGTGATCCATGACCAGTGTGATCCATGACTAGTGTGATCCATGACCAGTGTGATCCATGACCAGTGTGATCCATGACCCAGTGTGATCCATGACCAGTGTGATCCATGACCAGTGTGATCCATGACCAGTGTGATCCATGACCAGTGTGATCCATGACCAGTGTGACCATGACCAGTGTGATCCATGACAGTGTGATCCATGACCAGTGTGATCCCATGACCAGTGTGATCCATGACCAGTGTGATGCCATGGACCAGTGTGATCCATGACCAGTGTGATCCATGACCAGTGTGATCCATGACCAGTGTGATCCATGACCAGTTGTGATCCATGACCAGTGTGACCCATGACCAGTGTGATCCATGACGCAGTGTGATCCATGACCAGTGTGATCCATGACAGTGTGATCCATGACCAGTGTGATCCATGACCAGTGTGATCCATGACCAGTGTGACCATGGACCAGTGTGATCCATGACCAGTGTGATCCATGACCAGTGTGATCCATGACCAGTGTGATCCATGACCTAGTGTGATCCATGACAGTGTGATCCATGACTAGTGTGATCCATGACCAGTGTGATCCATGACAGTGTGATCCATGACCAGTGTGATCCATGACCAGTGTGATCCATGACCAGTGTGATCCATGACCAGTGTGATCCATGACCAGTGTGACCCATGACCAGTGTGATCCATGACCAGTGTGGTCCATGACCAGTGTGATCCATGACCAGTGTGATCCATGACCAGTGTGATCCATGACCAGTGTGATCCATGACTGATGCCTTGTGTCTTGCAGGATCGCGTGGACGGTGGGTGCAGCAGCAGCAGCAGCAGCAGCAGCAGCAGCAGCAGCAGGACAGAGCCACTACACAAGCGCTGCTGGACGGGACAAGCCTCACTCACCCCACCTAGTGGTAGTTCACACACAGGTCGCAGCAGTGGCCAGACCTCCGTCAGAGGCCCGTAACATAACCTTCCTTCGCGACCCTGCGCGTCCATCAGGGTACCTTCCACTCTCGTCTCCTCCCTCCCCAAGACACTTAGGTTCAATTTCCGTAGAACCCTCTCATCCAGAGCCTTCTCATCCAGAGCCTTCTCATCCAGAGCCCTCTCACCCATATTGGAGTTAGTCATATTCTTGGAGTCACGTCGGGTGCTGGTGGAGGAGGTTAAACTAGGTTCCTGAGAGCGGCGCTGTGAGGAGACTGGGAGTGAGGGAGAGAGTGAGAATGTAGGAACTGAAAGGAGGATGAGAATGGTGGTGGTGGTGGTGGTGGTGGTTATGCGCGAGTAGTGGTGGTGGTGGTGGTGGTGAGAGGGTGGTGGTGGTGGTGGTGGTGGTGGTGGTGGTGGTGGCGCGTCTCTGGTGCCTTGCTTGTGTCAGTGGTGGGGAAACAGTGACCGAGGTTCACCTGGCCAGCTTCACCTGTGATCAACACAGCCTCAGTGTTCAGGCTGCAGCAGCCGCCCAGCACCAGCAGCAGCAGCACCAGCTACCACACACACGCAAGCACCACCAGCAGCAGCACCAGCAGCAGCAGCTGCTGCAAAAGGAAACGAGGCACAGCAGAAACAGCAGCACAGCAGGAGAAACAAGACTCGTCCCGCTGTAGTGTGGGACGGCTGCGAGGCGCCCCTCACCCCCACCTTCCCCGACACCCCATTGATCTGCGGGCCGCCCCCCATCCATCGCCCCCCACAACCACCTGCTGAGCGTGGCGGCCACCTGTGAGGTGCGGGGCTTGCGCCCCCCTCTCCTAGCACGCCCAGGAGGCGGCGGGTGTGATGGAGGTGCAGAGGGCGTGTGAGGCCGCCCCTCCTGAGGGGTCCTAGACCCCGCCACTGGTGTGCATGGGGGGCGGCGAGCCTGGGGTCGCTGCTGCTGCTGCTGCTGCTGCTGCTGTTGCTGCTGGCGGCGGAGGGGCCGCTAGGCTACCTCCTGCCGTAGTGGCCGTGTAAGGTGACGCAGAGACGCCGCAGAGCTCGTGGGAGCAGCAGGCGCTGCGTCTGCTGGCAGCCGCTGCCACGCGGAGTGTGGGCGGGGAGGGGGCTGGCGGCGGCGGCGGCGGCGGCGGGGAGGGTGGAGACGTAGCAGCAGCAGCAGCAGCAGCAGGAGGAGCAGCCAGGGCAGCAGCAAGGGCGCTAGGAGCGGTGCTGCGACGCAGACAGTTCGTGGGTCGGAGAGCAGTGACGGAACCACATGTGACCGTTGCTACCAACCCAAGACGCCGCAACAGCCTCGGTAAGTCCACCCCAGTCTCTACCCCAGTCTCTACCCCAGGCTCTACCCCAGTCTCTACCCCAGGCTCTACCCCAGGCTCTACCCCAGTCTCTACCCCAGGCTCTACCCCAGTCTCTACCCCAGTCTCTACCCCAGGCTCTACCCCAGGCTCTACCCCAGTTTTCCTACCCCAGTCTCTACCCCAGTCTCTTTCCCCAGTCTCTACCCCAGGCTCTACCCAGGCTCTACCCCAGTCTCTACCCCAGTCTCTACCCCAGTCTCTACCCAGCTCTACCCCAGTCCCCTACCCCAGGCTCTACCCCAGCTCTACCCAGTCTCTTACCCCAGTCTCTACCCCAGTCTCTACCCCAGTCTCTACCCCAGTCTCTACCCCAGTCTCTACCCCAGTCTCTACCCCCAGGCTCTACCCCAGTCTCTACCCCAGCTCTACCCCAGCTCTACCCCAGTCTCTACCCCAGTCTCTACCCCAGGCTCTACCCAGCTCTACCCGAGCTCTACCCCAGCCTCTACCCCAGTCTCTACCAGCTCTACCCCAGCTCTACCCCAGGCTCTACCCCAGTCTCTACCCAGTCTCTACCCCAGTCTCTACCCCAGGCTCTACCCCAGGCTCTACCCCAGTCTCTACCCCAGTCTCTACCCCAGTCTCCGGCTACCCCAGGCTCTACCCCAGCTCTACCCCAGCTCTACCCCAGGCTCTACCCCAGTCTCTACCCCAGGCTCTACCCCAGTCTCTACCAGTCTCTACCCCAGTCTCTACCCCAGCTCTACCCCAGTCTCTACCCCAGGCTTACCCCAGTCTCTACCCCAGGCTCTACCCCAGTCTCTACCCCAGGCTCTACCCCAGGCTCTACCCCCGTACTACCCCGTCTCTACCCCAGGCTCTACCCCCCCCCGGCTCTACCCCAGGCTCTACCCCAGTCCCCTACCCCAGGCTCTACCCCAGGCTCTACCCAGCTCTACCCCAGTCTCTACCCCAGTCTCTACCCCAGGCTCTACCCCAGCTCTACCAGTCTACCCCAGGCTCTACCCCAGTCTCTACCCCAGTCTCTACCCCAGGCTCTACCCCAGGCTCTACCCCAGGCTCTACCCCAGCTCTACCCCAGTCTCTACCCCAGTCTCTACCCCAGTCTCTACCCCAGGATCTACCCCCAGGCTCTACCCCAACTCTACCCCAGTCTCTACCCCAGTCTCTACCCCAGTCTCTAACCCCAGGCTCTACCCCCGGCTCTATCTACCCATCTTCCCAGTCTCTACCCCAGTCTCTACCTACCCCAGGCTCTACCCCCGTCTCTACCCCAGCTCTACCCCAGTCTCTACCCCAGTCTCTACCCCAGGCTCTACCCCAGGCTCTACCCAGTCTCTACCCCCGTCTCTACCCCAGGCTCTACCCCAGGCCCCCTACCCCAGTCTCTACCCCAGTCTCTACCCCAGTCTCTACCCCAGTCTCTACCCCAGGCTCTACCCCAGGCTCTACCCCAGTCTCTACCCCAGTCTCTACCCCAGTCTCTACCCCAGGCTCTACCCCAGGCTCTACCCAGTCTCTACCCCAGTCTCTACCCCAGTCTCTACCCAGTCTCTACCCCAGGATCTACCCCAGGCTCTACCCCAGTCTCTACCCCAGCTCTACCCCAGTCTCTACCCCAGGCTCTACCCAGGCTCTACCCCAGTCTCTACCCCAGTCTCTACCCCAGTCTCTACCCAGTCTCTACCCCAGCTCTACCCCAGGATCTACCCAGGCTCTACCCCAGTCTCTACCCCAGGCCTACCCAGGCTCTACCCCCGGCTCACCCCAGCTCACCCAGTCTCTACCCCAGGCTCTACCCCCAGTCTCTACCCCAGTCTTACCCAGGCTCTACCCCAGCTTACCCAGCCCCCCGTCTACCCCAGTCTCTACCCCAGGCTTACCCAGTCTACCCCAGTCTCTACCCAGCTCTACCCCAGTCTCTACCCACTCTACCCAGGCTCTACCCCAGTCTCTACCCAGGCTCTACCCCAGTCTCTACCCAGTCTCTACCCAGGCTCTACCCCAGGCCCTCTACCCCAGTCTCTACCCCAGGCTCTACCCCAGGCTCTACCCCCAGTCTCTACCCCAGGCCCTACCCCAGTCTCCACCCCAGTCTCTACCCCAGGCTCTACCCCAGTCTCTACCCAGTCTCTACCCAGTCTCTACCCCAGTCTCTACCCCAGGCTCTACCCCAGTCTCTACCCCAGTCTCTACCCCAGGCTCTACCCCAGTCTCTACCCCAGTCTCCACCCCTGGCTCTACCCCAGGCTCTACCTCAGGCTCTACCCCAGTCTCTACCCCAGGCTCTCCCTCCACCCCAGGCTCTTCCCCAGGCTCCCTACCCCCAGTATCTACCCCAGGCCTACCCCAGTCTCTACCCCAGTCTCTACCCCAGTCTCTACCCCAGTCTCTACTCCAGTCTCTACACCCAGTCTCTACCCAGTCTCTACCCCAGGCTCTACCCCCGTCTCTACCCCAGTCTCTACCCCAGGCTCTACCCCAGTCTCTACCCCAGTCTCTACCCCAGGCTCTACCCCACGCTCTACCCCAGGCTCTACCCCAGTCTCTACCCCAGGCTCTACCCCAGTCTCTACCCCAGTCTCTACCCCAGGCTCTACCCAAGGCTCTACCCCAGATCTACCCAGGCTCTACCCCAGTCTCTACCCCAGTCTCTACCCCAGTCTCTACCCCAGGCTCTACCTCAGGTCTCTACCCCAGGCTCTACCCCAGGATCTACCCCAGGCTCTACCCCAGTCTCTACCCCAGGCTCTACCCCAGTCTCTACCCCAGGCTCTACCCAGTCTCTACCCCAGTCTCTACCCCAGCTCTACCCAGCTCTACCCAGTCTCTACCCCAGGCTCTACCCCAGGCTCTACCCCCAGTCTCTACCCCAGGCCCTACCCCAGGTCTCCACCCCAGTCTCTACCCAGGCTCTACCCCAGTCTCTACCCCAGTCTCTACCCCAGTCTCATACCCCAGGCTATACCCCAGTCTCTACCCCAGTCTCTACCCCAGGCTCTACCCCAGTCTCTACCCCAGTCTCTACCCCAGGCTCTACCCCAGGCTCTACCCCAGGCTCTACCCCAGTCTCTACCCCAGGCTCTACCCCAGGCTCTACCCCAGGCTCTACCCCAGTCTCTACCCCAGGCCCTACCCCAGTCTCTACCCCAGTCTCTACCCCAGGCTCTACCCCAGTCTCTACCCCAGTCTCTACCCCAGTCTCTACCCCAGTCTCTACCCCAGGCTCTACCCCAGTCTCTACCCCAGTCTCTACCCCAGGCTCTACCCCAGTCTCTACCCCAGTCTCTACCCCAGGCTCTACCCCCCGTCCCACCCCATCCCCCTACCCCCGTCTCCCATCCCCAGTCCCCTACCCCCAAACTCTACCCCAGTCCCTTTACCCCCCTCTTACCCCCGTCTCTACCACCAACTCCCCCCCATTTTCCACCCCCCCGTTCTTTTACCCCAGTCTCCCTTTTTTTCCCGTCTCTAAACCCCCGTCTCTACCCTATCTCAGTCCATCTCTACCCCCCAGTTTTCTAAAACCCCGTCTTTAAAACCCCAGTCTCTTTCCCCCAGTCCCTACCCCGTCTCTACCCCAGTCTCTACCCCCCTCTCTACCCCGGGCTTTTCCCCATCTCTTCCCCAAATTTACCCCCAGTCCCCTTTTCCCCGTACTACCCCAATCTCTAACCCCCCTCCCACCCCCAGTCCCCTACCCAGTCCCCAAACCCCCGTTCTACCCCCGTCTCTTTCCCCAGTTCCCACCCCAGTCCCTACCCCCGTTTTACCCCCCTCCCCTACCCCCGGGCCCCACCCCGTCTCTACCCACAGTCTCCACCCCCCGTCTCTAACCCCAATTTTCTACCCCCTCCCCACCCCCCCTCTTTTACCCCAGTCTCTTTCCCCAGTCTCTACCCCGTCTCTTCCCAGTCTCTACCCCAGTCTCTACCCCCGTTCTACCCTGTCCCCACACCCAGTTCACCCCCATCCCCTACCCCAGTCCTACCCTCAGTCTCTACCCCATTTAACCCCAAATCCTTAAACCCCCGCCCCCCTTTTCCCCCAGTCTCTACCCCCGTATCTACCCCCGTCTCTACCCCGTATCTACGGCCCGTCTCTACCCCAGTCCCTACCCCAAGTTTTTTCCCCCGCTCTACCCCCCAGTCTCTACCCCAGTCTCTAACCCCTTTTTTACCCCCCGTCTCTACCCCCAGTCCTCCACCCCCCGTCTCTACCTTATCTCTAACCGGTCCCACCCCCGTCCCCTACCCCAAATCTTATCCCCGTCTCCCACCCCGTCTCTACCCCAGTCCCCCTACCCCTGTCCCCTACCCTAGTCTCTACCCCTTTCTCTAAAACCCCCCCGTCTCCAACCCCCGTCCTCTACCCGTCTCTACCCGAGCTCTACCCCAAATCTTACCCCCCGTCTCCACCCCAGTCTCCACCCCCGTTCTTTCCCCAATCTCTACCCCAATTTTCTACCCCAGTTCTACCCCCGTCCCCTACCCCCCCTACCCCGCTTTACCCCCTCTCTCCCCGGGCCCCCTACCCCGGGTTTTTCCCCCCCAGTCTCTACCCCCGTCTCCAAACCCCCAGTCTCAAACCCAAAATCTCTACCCCCATTTTTACCCCAGTTCTACCCCAGTCTCTACCCCATTTTTCCACCCCCGCTCTACCCCGATCTCTTTCCCCCGTCTCTACTCCGTCTTACCCAATCTCTACCCCGGGCTCTTTCCCCAATCTCTAACCCAGTCTCAAATCCCGTCTCTTAAAAACCCCCTCTGAACCCAGTTCTGACCATTTCTACCCCGGTTTTACCCCCAATCCTTTCCCAAATCTCTAACCCCCAGTCCCCCTAACCCCCTCTCTACCCCGGGCCCCAAACCCCCAGTCCCCTACCCCGTCTCTAAACCCCCTTTTCTACCCCAGCTCTGCCCCAGTCTCACCCCCGTTCTACCCCCCGTCTCTACCCCAGTGTTACCCCAAATCTCTA